AAAAAAGCTGGAAGTGGCGCTGTGGCTCAAGTGGTAGGGCACTAGCCTTGAGCTGAAGAGCTGAGGGACAGTGCTCAGGCCCAGAATTCAGGCCCCACAACTGGACCAAAAAAAAAAAAAAAAAACAATCCAAGGGAGTAAACATGCAAATTCACACAGCTACTGGTGGAATAGTTGTTCAAATGTTCCATTTTCCCAAAGAGGTTTTATCCATCCATCTTTTTATTTTCTGCCTCTTACAAATCCTAGGCTCTGCTCTTTGTCCCAAATCTCAATGAAATTAGGCTCTAGACATGATTGCCTGAAATGTGCCTGCCCTCTTATTTAGATGATTGAGCACAGATGTTCCAAGGACTGCATCTTTAATAAATTAAATTCACACTAGAGTGATGCCTGTACTGGCGAATGAAGATGGTGTATAGTCAAAAATAAACTTCTTCGTAGGTAATGTGGGCTCACTTTTTAGTAAAAAAAGATTGACAGAATATGTAATCGATGGAAATAATTTTGAAAACCCTTTTTGTAACTGAAACTTGTATTTAGGACATTGATCCTTCCAAACCATCAGCGTTTATATAAAAATAGCCAATCCTTGTAAGGTTCTCTGTTATTTACCAAATACTGTTTTATAAATGTACTCCATTTCTGTTTTTTTCCCACACAGAATTATTCCCTAATGGATGCTCAGCCTTCAAGAAAATCACTCCGAATATAGATGAAGAAGGAGCAATGAAAGAGGACGCAGGGATGATGGACGTCCATTACAGTGAAGTAAGGCCTGAGGCTTCACTTCCTAAATTTTAGGTTTATTAAAATTTATCACAGCTCACTGGATTTCCGAGGTAGCTAAGGGTTAATGAGCCTTAAGTTTTCAAACTACGCAAGTGAAGATATTCCTGTTTGGCAAATAGAGCCTTGTGTCAAGAAATGTTCCCATTACCTAGTTTTGAAACACATTTACCATCTATAAATGACCATTTCAGTAACCAGATCAAAATTAGCATAGGGGAAAAATATTGCTGCAAAATAGAGTTAACATTGCCTTTTACTTCAACTATAAGCAAAGTAGTATGAAAAGAATTTTAAAATAGAAAGTTTTCTACTCTGCACTTCAGATATGAATAAAGCAGGTTTAGTTGTGAATTGACAACCAAAGATTCATTGAACACTGGCTTTGGAACAAGGCTCAGATAATATGTGACATGCAAAATCACAGGAGAGAGACAGCTTTAGGCTAAGGTAAGATGAAGGAGAAAAGAGGGAGAAGTCTTCAAAGAATGACAGCACTGAAGGCACTCTAATAGGGAATAATTAATCTAGGATCACAGTGCCCAGCTAGTAATTTTTCTTTAATGTCTCTTTGTTTTTAGAGTGGTCCTGGGTTTTGAACTCAAGGCCTCACTCTGCCATTTGAGCTATGACCTAGCCATTTTTTGTGTTCAGATAGCATCTCCCTCCCCACCCCATCCAGGGAAGCTGCAGACTGATCTGACCTACAGGCTCTCATGTTGCTTGTACCATAGTCATGCATCACTACAACTGGCTTATTTGTTGAGATGGAGCCCTTAACTTTTTTACCCTAGCTGGCCTCAAAATCCTCCTGATATAAGCCTCCCTAATAGCTGGGCTTATAAGGCTTAAGCTACTGTGCTCAGAGAGAGTAGTAACTTTAATGATTAGTCAAGAACTATAATGAGCTTTCTGTCCAAACACTTCTGTTGGAATTCTTTTGTGTTCTCCCATTTTTTTCATATCTTAGAATTTTTACTATATATATTAGAGAGGGTTTTTAATTTTTTATTGTTATTATAAAGATGATATGGGCTATAGTTACATAAGTCAGATTAAAGAATACATTTCTTTTTGGACAGTGTCAACCCTTCCCTCGCTTTCTCCCAGTTCCACAATTTTTTCTTATAGAAATTTGTATTTGGCATATATAGAAAGGATGGTGTCACCCAACAGTCACTTTGTTTGGGTTTCTATAACAGGGCTTCCCTCTCGTGCCCTCACCAATTAAAATAATGACACTAGAAGTTATACTGAAATGAAAAACAATTCTCCATTTATCACTTGATTACTTGAACTCAGAATAATTAGTTTTCTAAAAATATAGTTCTGTCTTGATTTGCAACAGTATAAAAGATAAATTTTGCAATAAAATGTATATATCTTAAGGAAATAGTTTGATGAGTCCTTTCTTTTAACCAGTCTTAGGACTAAACGCTATCCTTGAGCTTTTTTACTCAAGGCTAGTGCTCTCTCGCTTGAGCCACAGCTCTACTTTCAGCTTTTTAAAAGTAAGTTTTTTGAAGGTAAGAGTCTCATCAACATTCCTGTCTAGGCTTGCTTTGAACTGGATCCTCAGCTCTCATCATTCTGAGTAGCTAAGATGATAGGCATGAGCCATTGGCACTCAACTCAGTTTGATTAATTTTGAAAACTGTATGTACCCATACAACCTACCACCAAACTAAAAAAAAAAATAGAACACATCTATCAATATACAACTTCCTATGCCCATTTTCAAGAAGTCTGGATGTCATAAAATCATTTAGTAGGTACCCTTTTGTTTAGTATATTGAAATTTTTTTATCATCATTCATTCTCCATTATCTTAATATATACCTTTTCAGTTCATTCTCGTGTTTATGGAATTTAGATTGCTTTCAGCTTGTAGCTACTATGAATAAATCTTGTTTATAAAATGCTATGTATATAGATAGATATAGATATATACTGGGTTCCAGTGGCTCATGCCTATAATTCTAGCTACTCAGGAGGCTGAGACCTGAGGATCATGGTTAGAAGCCAGCCCAGGCAGGAAAGTCTGTGGAGCTCATCTCCAATTAACTTCTAAAAAAGCCAGAAGTGGATCTGTGGCTCAAATGGTAGAATGCCAGCCTTGAGTCAAAAAGCTCAAGGACAGCACTGAGGCCCAGAATTTAAGCCCCAGGACCAGCATGAAAAATAAAAATGGTATATATGATATATGTTTCCATTTATCTTGGATAATACATGGAATTACTAGATTCTAGGGAATATATACATGTGTGTGTGTGTATATATATATTTCATGTATAAGCCTGTATAATAAATTTTTCCAAAATGTTTCTCAAAGTGGTTGGACCATTTTATATTTCCACCAGCAATGATGAGAGGTCTCTTTGCACATCTTCATTAACATCATGTTTCTAGTCTTCTTTAATTTTAGCAGTCTATTTAGCATGAGTTTATACCTCGTGAAATTATACCTCATCATGAATTTATACCTCATAGACTGAGGTATATAAAGATATATGTGGGGCTGGGAAGGTGGCTCAATGGTAGAGCGCTTGCCTTGCATGCATGAAGCCCTGGGTTTGATTCCTCAGCACCAGATAAGCAAAAAGAAAAAAACAGAAGTGGCGCTGTGTCTCAAGTGGTAGAGTGCTAGCCTTGAGCTGAAGAGCTGAGGGACAGCGCCCAGGCCCAGAGTTCAGGCCCCACGACCGGACCCAAAAAAAAAAAAAGATATATGTTTGACTAATGATGTTTAGCAGTGTTTCATATGCCCCTTGGCCTCTTGAATCTCTCTCTTTCTTTTTCTTTTTTTTTCCCAGTCCTGGGGTTTGAACACAAGTCTGGGTGCGGTCCCTGAGCTTCTTTTGCTCAAGGCTAGTACTCTACCACTTGAGACACAGCTCCACTTACAGCTTTTATGTGAGTGTTTTATTGGAGATGAGTCTCACATACTTTCCTGCCAGACTGGCTTCAAACCATGATTCTCAGATCTCAGCCTTCTAAGTAGCTAGGATTACAGGTGTGAGCCACCAGTGCCTGGCTTGAATATCTTCTTTAGTGCAACGTTTTCTTGTGCATTCTTAGAAATTACATTATTTACTTCTTATTGCTGATTTGTGAGAGTTCTTTTTGTATCCTTGAAATAAGTCCTTCACCAGATACATATGCTGTAATTTTTTTTACTGCTCTTTGGCATGTATATTCATTGTCCTTAATTAACTCTTGTTGAACATAAAGGTGTTTTGTTTGTTTGTTTGTTGAGACAGGATCTCATTGGGCCAGCCTAGGCTAGCCTAGAACTTTTAATCCTCCCATCAACACCTCCCGAGTGCTGGAATTATAAGTGTGTACCACCACATCCCATAGGAAGACTTTTTATGTAATTGATTTATAACTTTTTATTTTTTGTCTCTGATCCAAATGTTTCTAGTATTTGATTTAGGAAATACAGAGTCATGTCCAGCCTGGCATGGTGGCACATGCCTATATTACCAGCACTTGGAAGGCTGAGGTAGAAGGATCCATATATTCAAATCCAGGCTGGGCTGCATAGCAAGACCCTGTATCAAAAAATATCTAGTCACACACTTCTGTTCACTTTATACACTCTGTTCTTCATTAACTTAAAATGCTTCACAATTTATTTGTCCCAAACTCTATTATTGATTCCTGATTGGATTTTTTTCTGTCAATGCAGGAAGTATTGCTGGAGTTGCTAGAACAATGTGTGGATGGCTTATGGAAGGCAGAACGTTATGAAGTGATTTCTGAAATTTCCAAGTTAATCATCCCAATTTACGAGAAGCGCCGAGAGTTTGAGGCAAGCAATTTAACATTTTCATCAATGGCCTAAATCTTTTTTGTTGTTGTTGTTCCTGGGGAAAGCACTCTATTGTGTGTCTTCTGAAGAGTGAAGGTTCAGTACATTATGACATAGGAATTTTATTAACATTAAATTATGACATAGGAATTTTATTATCCTTTCTTTGTGGAGCTGAAACTAGAACCCAGGACTTCAAGCATGCTAGGCAATCACTATTCCTAGTCTGAATTGTAACTTTCAAATTGAATAAATACACTGGGATGGATCTCAGTGACAGAGCCCTTGCCTAGCATGTACAAAGGCCATGGGATCTATGTCCAGCTCTGCAAAATGTTACACATCTTAAAAATGCTCTGAAATGAGCATTTTCCTATGCTATCTCCTTTTTTTTTGCCAGTCATGGGACCTGAGCTCTGGGCCTGGGCACTGTCCCCCAGCTCTTCAGCTCAAGGCTAGCACTCTACCACTTGAGCCACAGCGCCACTTCTGGCTTTTTTTCTTTTTCCTTATGTGGTGCTGAGGAATCGAACCCAGGGCCTCATGCATGCAAGGCAAGCGCTCTACCACTGAGCCACCTTCCCAGCCCTCCTATGCTATCTTCTATTCATTTATGTTCATACACATTTTCCAAATGAAATTGAGTAAAAGATTGAAATAGAAATTAGTCCAGTAGTTCTCAAAGTATTTTCATCTGGCCACCTCCCTTCTTTCAGGATGTAAAATAATCAATGTAGTTTTCACTGGACTTGAAAATTACAAGAAAAGGTACCACTGCCAGAAAAGGCTACTGAACTTCCATGTTGCCCTATTCTCGCCCCTCCCAGGGCAGGGAGAGGATATAGAGACACGATTGTGTTCTTATTTAGTGCTAAGACAAAACAGTAGTAATAGCCCTAGATGAGGAGCTATTTGTCAATTTGACTTGTTAGGCAGACTGTAGATAAAGGATAGTCCATACAGAGTGACAGTATTTAATTATCAGCTGTTACCATCAGTACTGAACAGGCATTTTTTGATATTCAAGTCTCTGAGGCCATATCATAATTTCTACTTCTATGAGCTGAGAAAGGAATGACTTTAGACTCGAGACATCTCAAGAATAGGTAGTCTTTCATTGTTGAAGAAGTTTCTGAGGGTATAAACACATGCATTTAGTATCATGTGGATAGTGTTCTCATATCTGTTCCAAACTGGTTCTGATCAAACTTACTTTCTCCTCTCGGGTCCTGGGTCTTTCTGTCTTTGCTATGCTCTTGATATATATTGGACATGCTTGAAAAATCGGTGGAATTCAAGACTATATTGATAACCTCGAATTAAGTATAGGTCATATAGAGGACCAAGAATAGCGTAGGAGGAAAAATAAGATTTGTCATTCCCCTTTCTGTCAAAGCATTACATTCTTTTTTTCCCTAATTATTTCAAGACAGTTTATTATCAAAAAGGTCCCAACACTAAGCTTCTGGCCCATTCTGCCATTGTACAAACTACAAATCATTGCTTGATAGCCAAGGGGCACTTTTTATAGCATCTTGAAAAAGTGAGTAAAAAAGATGTGCATTGTTTCCATAGGAACACAGGTAAGTGTGACCCCATCTCCTAGCCTTCCATTGGCTGAGTGTGGTACATCACACCTGTAACCCTATCTGTAAAGGGGATAGAGGTAGGATGATCACTGGAAAAGTACAAGATCCTATCAGAACAACAGATTGAAGCAAAAAAAGGATGAGGGTATGGCTCAGTGATAGCGCACTGAGCTGAATTCAAATCTCAGTACAAAAAAAACCCATATCATACAATAAGTCTTTATGAGTTTCAAATTATAGGTCCCATCTTCTCTTAGATGAAGAACATACTAATAGAAACCCAAGGGACATTTTGCTCTCAAAGAAAATGTATGTATTTTCTATTCCCATTAATTAAATGGTAAAAGGTGCCATATAGATTCCTTGGCATACTGTTTGAAATGAGGTAATTATATCTAGGAAACTGATGTACATTTTTTGGTATATTTCCAATATCAGCCAAATGTTACCTTATATCAGTATAGCATATATCAGAACTAGAGTCCTTCTTATGGACACATATATCTGTCCACTGGATGAATATACAACAACTTTTATCCATTCATCTGTTGACAGACATTGAATTGTTTCTACTTTTTTTGGTGCCAGTCCTGAGTCTTGAACTCAAAGCCTAAGCACTATCCCTTAGCTTTTTACTCAAGGCTAATACTCTAACACCTGAGCTACAGCTCCACTTCTGGCTTTTTGGTGGTTAATTAGAAATAAAAGTCTCACAGACTTTATTTCCTCAGTTAGCTTTGAATTGCAATCCTTAGATCGTAGCCTCCTCAGTAGCTCAGATTATAGACATGAACCACTGGTACTCAACTCATTTTAATATTCTTAATAATGTCCATTTTACGCTGTGTTCCCTTTTTCCTGGATATGTAGGATATATTCTTGGGATATATCTATGAACTGTTACAAATTTCAGTGTGTTTATTTTATTTTCCTAACTAAAAGCTCTGGAACTTTGTTTAGTCTCATATCTCTATATGTAATAGCTCAAAAAGGAAATTTTTCTACCATTTCAATCAAAGTGATTCAGGCAAATAGGAAATAGTAGTTGATAATACAGTGTTGAGAATCAAACCCAGATAATACAGTATTTTAAGAATATAAATTGCTGCCAGGAAGTAATGGCTCAGGCCTGTAATCCTATCTACTCAGGAAGATGAAGATGACAGTTCAAAGCAACTCTGCAATAAAGTCCATAAGACTCTTATCTCCAATTAACTGCCCAAAAAAGGCCAAAAGTGGGACCTGGGGCTCAAGTTGTGGAACGCTAGCCTTGAGAAAAAAAACTCAAGGACAGTGTTCAGGCCCTGAGTTTAAGCTCTGGACCAGCACGCGCACTCGCGCGTGCGCACACACACACACACACACACATATAAATTTCCATCAAGAAGTGAATAAAAGCCTGGCACCAGTGGTTCATGCCTGTAACCCTAGCTACTCAGGAGGAGGAGCTCTGAGGATGACAGTTCCAAGCCACCCCAGGCAGAAAAGTCCACAAGACTCCTATCTCCAATAAACTACTCAGAAAAAGCAGGAAATGGTGGTAAGGCTCAAGTGGTAGAATACTAGCCTTGAGCACAAAAAGACTCTAGGACAGAAGCCAGGCCCTAAATTCAAGCCCCAGGACTGGTGGGAAAAAAAAGAATGTGAATAAAATATTACAAAAGTGTTATTTTACCATCTTTAGTTCTAAAGTTCTACTCTGACCTAAAATTGTTGACAACTTTTCTCTAATTGTTACAGTGGTGAGGGGGAGGGGGGATGTAAATGGCATCCCTTAATTTTTTTTAAATGTTGTATTTATTTTTGTAAATGCATCTTGATGACACTCAATTATTTACTAAAAGAAAAAGCTGATCCATATATTCTCATTTTTCAGAAACTTACTCAAGTTTATAGAACTCTTCATGGCGCTTACACAAAAATTTTGGAGGTTATGCACACGAAAAAAAGACTTTTAGGTACTTTCTTCAGAGTTGCCTTTTATGGCCAAGTAAGTATACTTCATCAAGTTGTTTTTCCTCTTTAAATATTCACCTTTGGCTTATTAGATTACTATAACAGAAGTTATTAGATCTAGAATTCTGGCTAGAGAAAATATCTATTACAATGGCAAAGACCTTATTTTCTAATTTTAAAGTTCGATTTGGTTCTCATACCTAAATGATTGGTTCAGAGTACAGTATATAAGGCTTGGAATTTCAGTTTCACTTTCTGCTAAGCCTCTGTTTAATATCTGACAGTTCAAATTTTCCAATACAAAACAGGTAAGTATACAAGGAAGGAGGAAATTCTAATATGGAAATTTCTTCAGGCTAATAGTATATTCATATGGTCATGAATTTGCAATGTCTCATTTATTTGCAGTTGAAAGAATGAATATTTAGGTGATTTATAGCCATATTTTAAATGTATTTCAGATATAATATTACTAGTTATTTAGGAGATTTCCTGTCAATTCACACTTTTCACAAATTACTTGCTTACCTTTCTAATAGTCTTTTTTTGAAGAAGAGGATGGAAAAGAGTACATCTATAAAGAGCCAAAGCTTACTGGACTCTCAGAGATTTCCTTGAGACTTGTTAAACTTTATGGTGAAAAATTTGGCACAGAAAATGTCAAGATAATACAGGATTCAGACAAGGTAACATATGCCCTGCATTTTGAAATAATTGTTATTCCAGACTTGGTACATTGCTCTTAATTTTGTTTGTGTGCTGGTCATTGGGCTTGAACTCAGGGCCTGAGCACTGTCCCTGAGCTTTTTTGTTCAAAGTTAGTGCTGTACTTGAGCAACGGCTCTCCACTTCCAGCTTTTTGGTGGTTAATTGGGGATAAGAGTCTCACTGACTTTCCTGCCTGGGCTAACTTTGAACCACAATTTTCAGATCTCAGTCTTCTGAATAGCTAGATGTGAGCCACTGGTGCCCAGCATACTCCTGATTTTTCCCCCATTTTAGCTATGTGAAATATGAAACTAGAACCCTCCAGATAGTGGAAGAAAGAATAGAGGTCTTGGAGTCAGAGACCAGAACTCAAATCTCCACTCTCTGTTATTTTGTAGTTTAAAAGCATGAGGAAGTTATTTAGCCACTCTGTTTTATTTTGTTCATTAGTAAAATGGAAATAATAGTACTTGTGGTTGTTGTATAGATTAAATAACTTAATATATGGAAAGTAATTAGAGTTGTTGGTACATAAATCACTGATATGAGAGCTAGTATGCTTAACAACTAGCTATTATTGTTTTATTGTACACCTTGATTCTTAGTTACATATTTTATTATTAAAATCACACACACAATTCTAAAATATCTGTAGTTCAATCGAAGTGATTATGGTTAAATTTCAAATGAAATGATGCTTTGGGTCTTGATCTAGAGGTTATTCATCTCACTCGGCCCTGCCAAACAGGGTGCAAATGGTTCCAACTAAAGAGTCACTTTGGGGCTGGTGATGTGGCTCAAATGATAGAGTGCTTGCCTAGCAAGTGCAAGCCTCTGAGTTCAAACCCCTGTAATCACCAAAACACTAAAATTAGAAGAACCCCTTTCACAGGGAATGCATAGTTCTCTATGGACCACACAGTAAGAATGCCAATCACTAGTTGCCATGAATATGCCCAGGATGAAAACTGATGTTTAAGGTAGGAAGGATATTTACAGTTTAGGATTTGTAGCAACAGCAATGTTTACTTTCTCTTATTCTTTAGTAAAATGTTCCTACTTTTTGCTTCTTGAATACTAAGATTACAGGTATGCACTAGCATGCCTGGCCAGACCTTTTTCTTTATTTGCTAAACAAAAGAATATATCAGGTATTTACCTAGCATTACATTGTATTTGGTATTATAAATAATCAAAAGGCATTAAAGAACACAGATAGATGTTTCATAGGTTGTTTCCAAATACTGTGGCATTTTGTATAAATGATTTGATTTTTTTCTTAATTAAAGGCATTAGTTTTCTGCCAAAGATCAAAATTTGCTTAAGGGCACAGGCAACTTGAACAGGAATTTGCTTTTATTTTCCAATATCTTAAAGGTATATGTCCTTAAAACCAACAGTTTCAGATTTAAGATTTCATCTTGTAGATGTACACATATGGATTTATGTTTAAAGATGTTTTCTGCTGTAAAATGTATATAGCAAATGCCCAGAAGCAGTGTAGCTATCTTAGTCCTTGTGACTTCAGTAAATGGCAACATTACCCCCATGATGGGTCATGTAGCTGTGAAAAGAAAGTATCAATATTAACCTGTTAAGATACTAGATTTGGCCAGGTGCCAGTGGCTCAAACCTATAACCCTAGCTACTCAGGAGGCTGAGCTCTGAAGATACAGATCCAAAGCCAGCCCAGGCAGGAAAGTCCATGACACTCTTTGCATTGAACTGACAAAATTCTGGAAGTAGATCTGTGGCTCAAGTGGTAGAGCATTAGCAAAAAAGCTAAAGGACAAGTTCAAGCCTTAGTTAAAGCGCAGAGAAAAATGCAGGACTGAACAGGTAGTGTTACGTGAGTGTTAAAACTAGAAGTTTATATATATTCATATAAGCTTAAGAAGGCTCTGAAATCAAACATATAAAATAATTACCATAGTTACCTCTGAGGAGTGAGACTTGGGTCTTGGCTAAGAAGGGGGAATTTTTGCTATTTGTGTATACCTCGTACACTGTTTAAATGTGTGTGTGTGTGTGTGTGTGTGTGTGTGTGTGTGTGTGTGTGTGTGTATAAAGTTTGAAGCTATCTTCTGAGGTTTTTCTGGAAGCATCTAGCTTTTTAGTGGGAGAGAAAAGACAGTTAATGTCTGGAGATTGGTAAACAACAGCAGGAGGTTGGAGACGTTTCCTATCCCCTGTCCATATGCTTGCACACATGGAGGAAGAATAGATACATCTAATTAAAGTCACATCAGTGATTTCACTATAGAACTATATTTTTATTTAGGTGGTATTCATATAAATGCATGGGTATTTTAACATTTTAGAGATAAGATTATAAAACAATGTTCAATCTGATCTCAATTTTCAAATACATGTACACAGAAAAAAAGACTGGAATGAAATAAGTGAAAATGCAAATATAATAGTCATTGTGGTAGGATTACAGCATTTTCTACTTTCTTTCTATGTTTCATTTTTTCCTTTGGTGGTCCAGGGGTTTGAACTCAAGGCCTCACTTTTAGTAGAATGAAGCAGGTACTCTACCACTTGAGCTATGCCTCCAGCCCTTTTTGCTTTGGTTATTATGACATAAGAGTCTTACTTTTTGCCTCAACCTGCCTGCACTTTGACCCTCCTATTTACACTTCCCACTTCGCTAGGGTGATAGCATGTGCCACTGTACCTAGCTTTTTACTAGTTCCAATATGGTTCATTTGAACTTGTTTGCCCCAACTTTTTTTGCTTGGACTGGCTTGGAAATGTGATCTTCCCAATCTTCACTTCTTGAGCAGGTAGGATTGCAAGTGTGAGTCACCACACACAGCTTCTTTTCTTTCACCATGTCAGTTGTCTCCAAATGGGTTTCTCTAACTTCTTCATAATCAGAAAAAAATAGATCCTTAAAAAAAAACAAAGTTCTTCTGTAGGTGTCTATTCAGTTGGTAGCACAATCACAATAGCATCCTTGCCTACAAGGTCTTAAAGGAGAAAATTACCAATACTTCCTTTTTCCTTCCACTGAATTTTTTGGTAATATCTTATCTCATAGGTTAATGCCAAAGAACTTGATCCAAAATATGCTCATATCCAAGTCACTTATGTGAAACCATACTTTGATGACAAAGAACTCACAGAAAGAAAGACAGAGTTTGAAAGAAATCATAATATCAACAGATTTGTTTTTGAGGCTCCTTATACCTTATCAGGCAAAAAGCAAGGCTCTGTGGAAGAACAGTGTAAACGCCGTACAATCTTGACAAGTAAGTAGGCCGCTTTCATGTCCACTTTTTATTTGTCTTGATCCTCTCTGGTATATACAAGTACTGGCTGTCCAGCAGAAACACATAACTGAAGTTTTAGTCATTTGTTGTTTGACTATTCAAAGTTAGTACAAAAATGTCCTTGTAACAAACCACTGTTTTCTCATGTCACCCATAGTTGCTTAGAGGTGTCTCATAAAGAGAACCTATCTCTCAATCCTGAAGCAATCATACTGGATACCCTGAAGTATCTTTTAGAGAAAATATGGGGAGAGTTAAATACACTGGATTTTTATTTAATTCAGTTGAACAAATTATTATCTAAAGAAAAATAATCAATCTTAACATTTTAATAGCATCAAACTCATTTCCCTACGTGAAGAAGAGGATTCCTATAAACTGTGAACAGCAGGTTAATTTAAAACCAATTGATGTTGCTACTGATGAGATAAAAGACAAAACTGCAGAGTTGCAGAAGCTTTGTTCCTCTGCTGATGTGGATATGATTCAGCTTCAACTTAAGTTACAGGGCTGTGTTTCTGTTCAGGTATGTTGATCACCCAACATGGATTAAAGTGTTTCTTTAAAAAAACTTTTTTTTTATTTGTGAACATACTGTACAGAGGAGTTACAATTACATGGGCAGGATAATGCATACATTTCTTACCAAGCATTGCGTCCTCCTCCTTTGTTTACCCTTCACATCCCTTCCCAGGCTCCCCCCTCCCCCCAAAAAACTTTTATTGTTATTATAAAGGTGATGTACAGAGGGGTTACAATTACCTAAGTCAGGTAAAGAATATATTTCTTTTTGGACAATGTCACCCCTTCCCTGGCTCTCTCCCAATTTTTCCCTCCCATCCCCACCCACAAATTATATAGTTCATTTTCAACATGGTATCTAATGAGTATGACTTCTGCATTTATTTGTCCCTCTGTTTCTGTGCCCCTCTTATCCTCCCAAAGACAGATATACAAACAAACAAGAAATCAAACAAAAACATCAACAAAGAAAAAAAACTCTTGTTTCCATTTCTGGAGTTCATATCAATTTTTTTTTTTTTTGTCGGTCGTGGGGCCTGAACTCTGGGCCTGGGCACTGTCCCTCAGCTCTTCAGCTCAAGGCTAGCGCTCTACCACTAGAGCCATAGTGCCACATCCAGCTTTTTCTGCTTATGTGGTGCCAGGGCCTCATGCATGCAAGGCAAGCACTCTACCACTGAGCCACCTTCCTAGCCCATCAATAAATATTTTATATGATCAGAGTAAAATGTTTCTTGTTGTTTCTCTTGTTTCATAGGGGTATAGAGCTAGCATTAATTGTTGTGCGCTATGTTCTTACTGAGTACAAAAGTCCATCTGTCCATTTTTTGTTAATGTAATAGAGAAGTTAGGTTTCAGTTCTACAATTTTTTCTTTTTTCTCAGTTGTAGGGTTTGAATTCTGGGCCTAGTCACTGTCCCTGAGCTCTTCAGCTCAAGGCAAACATTCTACGACTTGAACCACATTCCCACTTCCAGGTTTCTGGTGGTTTATTGGAGATAAGAGTCTCACGGACTTTCCTGCCTGGGCTGACTTTTAACTGGGATCCTCAGATCTCAGCCTCCTGAGTAGCTAGGATTACAAGCATGAGCCACTAGCAGCTGGCTTAAATTCTATAAATTTTATCTTAGGTCAGAGGGCTTAAACATAAATTTCTATGACTAGGTAAGCACTATTATTTACATATCAGAAATCATTAATTTATTAGAGTATCATCTTTCCAGATAATTTGCTTTAATGATTTTTTCAAATAAATTTGTTGGAAGTATAGTAATAACAGGTAATAATAGTAATATAGTGCTGGGCGCCAGTGGCTCACACCTGTAATCCTAGCTACTCAGGAGGCTGAGATCTGAGTATCACGGTTCAAAGCCAGCCCATCAGGAAAGTCCGTGAGACTCTTATCTCCAATAAACCACTAGAAAACTGGAAGTGGTGCTGTGGCTCAAGTGGTAGAGTGCTCACCTTGAGCTGAAGAGCACAGGGACAGTGCCAAGCCCAGAGTTCAAGTCCCATGACTGACACAAAAAAAAAGTAATATAGTAATAGAATGAAATAGAATAGAAATATATAATAGTAATATAATATAGTAACAAATAGATTTCTTTGTGTTTTGGTATATACCAGGCAAGTTTCTATTACAGAGATACACAAGATTTACAGCCCTTAGGAGTTTTAATAAAAAAAAATGCAAGACCTTCAATTACATGTTGATAACTCTTTCATTTTTCTCCCTTTGTAATTAGGTCAATGCCGGCCCATTAGCTTATGCAAGAGCTTTTTTAAATGAAAGTCAAGCCAGCAAGTATCCACCTAAGAAAGTAAATGAGTTGAAAGACATGTTTAGGTAAGTGTTTTGTAGTGCTTCCACTACAAAACCTCTATTCTTTCCTCCGTTTTCTTCTAAAAACAACAACAAAGAAGCTGGGTACCAGTGGCTCACACCCATTAACTTAGCTACTCAGGAGGCTGAAATCCAAGGAGCCAGGTTCAAAACCAGCCCACACAGAAAAGTCTATAAGATTCCTATATCCAATTAACCAGCATAAGCCCAGAAGTAGAGCTTTGGCTCAAGTGGTAGAGAGCCAACCTTGAGCAAAAAAGCTAAGGGACAGTACCCAGGCCCTGAGTTCAAGCCCCTCACAAAATAAAACAATAAAGTGTTCAACAAATCCTTCCAAAAAAGTACATTCTCTGTCTATGCTTTCACACTATTTACATGTCCTCTGAATAGTATTTTAAGTAGTGAGGAAATGCATAGTCTACTTCATATTCTAGAATATTACCAATGCCCCAGTGACACAAGAGATTAAATATGCCCACTTACTTTACTGCTTTGGATATTTTGGACACAAACAAAAGCCTACATTTATTACATGATTTCCTTCTTTGCCCGATTGACCTTGTGTTATAGCATTTTCAGACCATTTAGGGTAGGAGTAAAAGTGGAATTGGACGAGGTCCATCAGCTTGTTGCTGTCTCGTGTCTTTAATTCTATTTGCCTTCTGCCCGTCTAGGACATGTGCTGTCTCGTGTACAGCAAGCATCCTGGTAAGCTAAGGTGTGTCTGAAAGGTCATAGATTAGAAAACAGTCTATATATAAAAGGAAAAGCTGCGGGTGTGGCTCAAGGACTGGGGCACCTGCCTAGCAAGTGAAAGGCCCTGCGTTTAACCCCAGTACTGTTTCAGAACAGTTTGCATTCAATTTATATTCATAACAAGAGAAGCAATTGAGTCAAACATACATAAGAAAGATCAAACCTATTTACTCATTGGCTTCTAATTTGTGTTATTTCCTTTTCCTGTCTGTATGTCCACACCTATTCCAGTTTGCAGAGTAACCAGAAGTCATTCATTGGCCAATATTTATTAATTATGCATGCATAGATGAAAATTCCTGTAAGCCCAGCACTTGGGAGACTGAGTCAGGAAGATCAATAGTTCAAAGACAGCCTCAGCAAGACCTTGTCTCAAAAAATTTACTTTTAGGTCAGGCGCCGGTGGCTCACGCCTGTAATCCTAGCTATTCAGGAGCCTGAGATCTGACTATCATAGTTCAAAGCCAGCCTGGGCAGGAATATCTGTAAGACTCTTATCTCCACCAGAAAACTGGAAGTGGCATTGTGGCTCAAAGTGGTAGAGTGCTAGCCTTGAACAAAAAGAGGTCAAGGACAGCACCAAGGCCCACAACCAACAGAATTGTTTTCCTTTTAAATATACATGCATGCCATATACAAAAGAATCTTACTAGTTACTATAACAGTGATATAAAGCATATGAACAATAAGGCACTTTGTCCCCTCAGATAAAATCTATGGACTTTAAACATATCTCCATGAAATAATGAAAACTACTTTTTCATTGCGCCAGTACTGAGGTTGAACTCAGGGATTCATATTAGCTTTTTTGCTCAAGGCTGACATTCTACTTCTGACTTTTTGCTGGTTAATTGGAGATAGGAGTCTCAGATTTGTTTGCTTGGGCTGGCTTTGTACCAGGATCCTCAGATCTATCTCTTGTATAGGTAAGATTACAAATGTGAGCCATCAGTGCCCAGCTGAAAATACTTTTATGATAAACCTTCACTTCTCTGTCCCTTTCTTAGTAATCTAGGGAACATATTTCATACCATAGCATCCAGCACTGTATTGGATGCAACAAAAGCTCCAAACCAATTATTTCCTATCTACAGATAAAGTAATGTTAGTACACAACCAGCCAGTATAATACCAACAACAGAGGTAAGAAAATAGGCTTCCTAGAGAATATGTGTTAGATGCCAGAGTTTAAGTCCTAGGGTAAAGGTAGAAAAGAAAGGAGAAGGTAGCTCAAGACCTGGGAAGTAACAAGAACAACTACAGTGAGAAATTTGAGAACTGGAATCTTCTTAAGTATGTCATAGCTTACTAGATTGTTACTATATTGATTGTCAATGAAAATCCCCAAGAATAAGTAATAAAATTTATGCCTTTTTTTCTCCACAGGAAATTCATACAAGCATGTAGCATTGCACTTGAACTAAATGAGCGGCTAATTAAAGAGGATCAAATTGAATACCATGAAGGGCTAAAGTCAAATTTCAGAGACATGGTGAAAGAATTGTCTGACATTATCCATGAGCAGGCAAGTCATGAGTGGTTGAAACTAAAAACAAGATCTGAGGGCTCCAAAATGTTAATTAGCAAAGTCTCTTAGCCTGGAATGTATTACCTTGAAATTCCTCAGTATTTTAAAAGTTGTTTGCAACTTCCCTAAGCATTTAAGTGCTATAAGGAAAAGCAAATATGCAGCAATGATCTAAAACTGCTCTGGAAGCAATGCTCAGTGCTGAGCATGACATTAGCTCAGTGCTATATAGCTCAGTGCTATAATGACATTAGAAGCAACTGGCTGAGAAATGCCAAATTGATCTACTAGGGTAAGAGTCCTAAAGAAATGAAATGATGGTCTCCAGACCATGTCACCATGTCATAGCTGTACAAAATTAGATTTAGTGTTTTAGGTGAGATCCTGAGTGATTTCCAATACTTAGAAACTGACCTATTACAGCTTATACAAATCTTAGCATGTTAACCTATCACTAAGGGTTAGTGCCAGTTGCAGTGGACTTAGAAAAACACAACCTAAAAAATATAAAAGTAAACCAGGTACCACTGGCTCACACCTGTAAGCCTAGCTTCTCATGAGGCTGAGATCTTAGGATTGTAGTTCAAAACCAGCCAGGCAGGAAAGCTTTGAGCAAAAAGCCCAGGGACAGCGTGTGTGTGTGTGTGTGTGTGTGTGTGTGTGTGTGTGTGCATGTGCGTGTGTGCGCGTGCATGTGAAAAACTTGATTATCCTTAGATCCAAATTATGTAATCATATAGTACTTATTACCTTTATATATCTATTGCCTTCATTTTGAAAATCTGAGTTCCCCTGGATTATGTTGATTATCTTTGTTCCTGCACTTTGTACATGGATTGTCACTTAGTCATTTAAACATATTAAGCATGTTTGTAAATTGACTGAGCCTTTTAAGCTTCTCATAAAATTTCTTTCATTTCCCCACTAATGAAAACACCCAATAGGATAAATACTTGCTTCCAAACTGAATTTTTAAGATTATTAAAGATGGAGCTGGTGTAGAGCTTAGTGGTAGAATGCTTGCTTAGTATATGCAATGCCCTATGTTTCATCTCCAGAACTGCAAAAGACAATTAAAGATTAAAATAAACAAGGATAAGCCAGGTGCTGATGGCTCTGCCTATGATCCTAGCTACTCAAGAAGCTGTGATCTATAGAATTATAGCATAAAGCCAACCAAGCAGAAAAGTCTGTGAAACTCCCAATCTCCAAAGTAACCACCAAAAAGCAGGGCCGGAGCTGTGTGGCTCAAAAGGTAGAGCACTAGCCAAGCAGCAAGCTGCACAAGTGGGAGACCCTGTGTTCAAACCCAAGTACCAGCATAGGCTGGTCCTATGCAATCTGCATTTCAGTGATTGAAAGTTATTGCTCCTTGCAGGAGGATCTCACACAAAATTTGCCCTCACCAGTGCTTGATATCCACAGAATTGTGGTTCCATGATGAGAAAAATCTAGTGAAAAAACAAAATTCTGTGACAACAGAGCTAGTTGGCTTTCAATCAATTTCTTGAATACCTAAACTTCTTTTTAATGCTGTATTCTTAGAGTGTGTGGGAACCTTAGTTTGAATTCTCTTAAGTCTGCAGTGAAGAGTTTGTTTCTCTGACCATTGTCATCTCTATAACATGAAAAGTCTGGATCAGCTAGACTTTCATCATCCTGTGGAGTTAGTGAGACTATAGCAGTCCTCTCATACACATTCTTGGTAGCTGGGAATGATGTTATATGTTAGAGCCCAGAATCACTGTTCTGTGTCATCTTTTTGCCATCTTTACTTGCGTTAGTCTTCTTAGGAATAGATATAAACAGCTCTAAGGCCCTTTTCTCCTTCTCAAAGCAACCAAGTGATCAGAACTAGGAAGGCAAGGATGCTCTCCCCCATTCTTTCGGGTACCTTGGACTCTGCACATAAGCACAGTGGAGGTATACCTCTCTCTAAATATCACAGTTCATGTGACTACACATAGACTACAGAGATGGCTGCTTGAAATGATCTTGTTGAAAAGTTTCTCATAATATATAGAAAACATAGCTACAATCTTTTTTTCACAAATGATATACAAAAAATACAGTACTGGAGCAAGGTGTTGGTGGCTCACACCTGTAATCCTAGCTACAGGAGGCTAAGATCTGAGGATCACGGTTTAAAGCCAGCTTGGGCACGAAAGTCCGTGAGACTCTGATCTACAGTTAACCACCAGAAAACCAGAAGTGGCACTGTAGCTCAAGTGGTAGAGTGCTAGCCTTGAGCTGAAGAGCTCAGGGACAGTGCCCAGGCCCAAAGTTCAAGCCCCACGACCAACCATAAAAAAAAATACAGTACTGTTTTCAGCCTAAGTATACTGACAGCTACATCATTTGTATACTCCTACAGGATCTAATCTTACAAATAAATTATTCAAATGAAGGCACATTATTTAATTATTCCTACTGTAATCAAGCTACTTAGAATGAGCCAGGTGCTGGTAGCTCATGCCTATAAATCCTAGCTACTCAGGAGGCTGAGATCTGAGGATCGTGGTTCAAAGCCAGCCCAGGCAGGAAAGTCTGTGAGTCTCTTGTCTCTAATAAACTACTTATAAAAAGCCATAAGTGGCACTGTGGCTCAAGTGGTAGAGTGCTAGCCTTGAGCACAAAGAGGCTTAGGAGCAGTGCCCAGGCCCTGAGTTCAAGTCCCAGGCCCAGCGCCCCCACACACCAAAAAAAGAATACTTAGAATAGTCATTTTCCACCCCTTGAAGCATAAGTTTTTTAAATTGGCTATGATATTTCACACCTGTTTATACTGGTTATTCCCATAAACATAATTATTTTTCTTAGTTGTAAGGTTTAGCTCCTTATATTGCATATTGTTAGATAACCAAGAAAATGCTAGTTCTTACTGGTTTATGTATATGCAAACTATTGACTTTCTAATGAATTGTTATTTTTACTTCATTATATTTTTTTCATTCGTTTGGTTTGAACTCAGGTCCTGGGCACTGCACTGCCCCTGAGCTTTTCTGCTCAAGGCTAGCATTGTACCTCTTTGAGCTACAGCCCCACTTCTGATTTTCTAGTGGCTAATTGGATATAAAGAGTCTCATAGACTTTCTGGCTCAGGATGGCTTTGAACCGTGATCCTTAGATTTCACCCTGGATCCTCAGATCTCAGCTAGGATTACAGGCATGAGCCACTGCCACCCCGCCAAGCTTTAGACTTTTTAAAAGGAACTCATACTATCTTAAAACTATTCATTACAAGCTGGGCACTGATAGCATACTCCTGTAATCCTAGCTACTCTGGAGGCTTATAGAACAGATGATAGTTTGAAGCCAGCCCAGGCAGAAAAGTTCTGAAGATCATCTCAAAAAAGACCAGTAAAAATCCAGGCTGGGAGTATGGCTCAAGTGGTAGAGCACCAGGAGAGCAAGCACGAGACCCTGAGTTCAAATCCCGTTATTTCCAAAAACTGAACCAAACTAATCATTGCAAATTTCTTAATTAAATGCAATTGGCAATGGTCATTTGTAGTGTGTTTAGTATGTTTTGTAATTTGTGACACCTAACCACTTAAACCTATCATATGCTTTAAGATTAATGTCATGACAAGAGGAAATTTTATCATAGGCTTAATAATATAAGCCTTATGATTTGTGAGAACATAAGTGATGTGACCCTAGGCCATTTTGATGGCTCAGTGCTGAAGTCTCAAAGCTAAGCTGAAAACCCAAGTTTGAAAGCTTGAGCCCTAAGTTAATACTTGAAGTGGGTGGAGATGGTATATATATTGTTATCTTCCTCCATCTAATTTAAACATAAGAACTCTGTCACACAAAATGGTTAATTTAAAAAATGTAGTAATACTGGGAATGAACATGTTTGTGTATTTATGGAACCAGAAAATGATTTTACATTAGTAAAGTTGTAGATTTCCAAGAAAATTCTGTGTTGCTTAGCTTAACTAATCTCAATGACTTTAGAAAAATGTACTTGTGTGTGTGTGTGTGTGTGTGTGTGTGTGTGTGTGTGTGTGTGTCCTGGGGCTTGAACCCAGGCCCTAGGTGTGGTACCTGAGCCACCAATGCCCTACTGCACTTCTGACTTTGATCTTCATTTAGTAGTACTTCCAAGTCTCCAGGGAAGAAGCTGGGGTATCTGAATGTTTAAAAAGCTCTCAGGTGAAGCCAGGCACCAGTGGCTCATGCCTGTAATCCTAGGCATTCAGTAAGCTGAGATCCTAGGATTGCGGTTCGAAGCCAGCTCTGGCAACAAAGTCTGTGGGACTCAACTCCAAATAACCACAAAAGGGACAGAAGTGGAGCTGTGGCTCAACTGGTAGAGCACTAGCCTTGAGAAGAAAAAGAAAGAAAGGAAGGCCCTCAGATGGTTCTGGGCCCTATTATACTAGAAGATAAAACTCTTATCAAAGAACAGTAGTCTATTGTTTTGAGCTCTTTTGATGACCATCTGTTAAAACACTTCTTTCAATATTGCATTATCTCTCTTTTTATTGAAATTTGCATTTTATGATCTCCTGTTTTACTTAATGAGTAACCAGATTTCTTTTCTGCTTTTTTGCTATGCTGCCTTTGTAACACAGCTCTGAAGACTTAAGTCTGGTAATGTTATCCTTTGCTCTTTCTGCTTTCTGTCATTTTCAAATAGCTCATGTCAGTGATCCATTGAAGTATGCCTGCAATTTCATATACACAGTCTTTTTTTGGCAGTAGCAATGTTGTTCCATAACTGTGCATATTTCTTTTGTTTTAGATATTACAAGAAGACACAATGCATTCTCCCTGGATGAGCAACACATTACACGTGTTCTGTGCAATTAGTGGTACATCAAGTGACAGGGGTTATGGTTCCCCAAGATATGCTGATGTATGAGGAAAAGTGGATGGCAATGGCAAGGGGACTGGTATTTCTCAGGAATATTCGGAGCTGTGCAAATGTTAACGTTGAGTGATTTGATATATACATGGAGTGTTTTCTCCTGACACCAAACTTTTCATGCTTTCAAACAGGGTGCTTACATATTTTGTAACTATTTAAGCAACTTGAAAGTGCCTGGAAATTTGCACCACTGTGCTTGGTTTGTACTTTTTTTAGGTAAATCTATATGCTGAAATGTAGAGCTCAGAAATCATTTTCATTTTGCTTAATTATTGCTTATAATCATAATAGTACTATGTAAAATTGTATAATGGAATACAATAAAAGGTCAAAACTTATTTGTAATTAGAAGTGAAGGAAATAGTGCTTTCAAGTTAGCATTTTTTGCTTGACAAGAAATCACTGGAGAAGAAAAAGGATTTGTGTGTGTGTGTGTGTGTGTGTGTGTGTGAACTTGTGTGTGTGTGTGTGTGTGAACTTGTGTGTATGTGTGTATACATGCATGTGTGCTGGTCCCTCAGGTTGAACTTAGAGCCTGGGCACTGTCCCAACTTTTTTCTCACAGCAAATACTCCACCACTTGAGCTACAGTTCCAGCTTTTGGCTTTTGATGGTTAATTGGAGATAAGACCCTCACAGACTTTCCTGCCCAAACTGGCTTCAGTCCACAATCCTCAGATCTCAGCCTCCTGGGGGCTAGGATGGCAGGCATCAGCCTGGGCAGGAAAGTTAACCACAAAAAGCCAGAAATGGAGCTATGGCGCAAGTGGTAGAACACTAGTCTTGAGCAAAAAAAGCTCATGAGACAACGCCCATGCCCTGATTTCAAGCCCCAGTTCTGGCACACAAAAGAATAATATTTCAAGCTGGAGAGACAAGTTGAATTCTTGCCTATTAGTAGTCAAGGTTGACCTAAAGGAACCAAAAGCACTATTTACTAGGAAAATTTCAGGACAGTATCACGATACCCTAGAAATACCATGGTCACTGTTCTTAGTTTGGATGCTAAGTATAGAATTCAAGAGATTTTTATGTTACACAGGTCTCTCAGAAAGCAATAATTATTGCCAAAGGAATGTGGGGCTGTCCATAAAACTAAACAAAACATTTCTGAGAATTTGTAGTCCATACAGCCTATGCAAGTTCAAAGCATTTTATCAGCAGTCCAAGGTGGAAATTTTGCACTGATTGGTTTCTTCAATGGCAAGGTTAACCAGCATTTTGACAGAATTTGGTGGGTGTGGCACACCTTACATCAGTATACCCAGCCACCACAGATTTAATACCTGCTAGTTTGGGATTACTTTTCTATCTCAGATTACCTCAATTATTCTGAGGAAACCAAGGTAATTCTAAACATTTTTAGCTGGAATTATTCATAGAATTTTTGGCTGTCTTCCATAAATTTCAAGTTCTATTCTTAATTCCTTCCATAGTTTAGCTTATTTTATAGGCAGACAAACAGGCATTAAACTCTAACAGGATTGTCTGGAGCCTTGGCTTTTTAAATACTTTGAGGCAGGTTAAATCTGAGAGATTATACTCTTTGGCTCAGCCATTTTTCTGTATATGTCATTTTTAAGCTTGTAGAGGAGTATAAGCTTATTGAAAATTAATCTTATATTTTAATGGAATGTTAAGTACTTTCAAAAGTAGTTTGAAGGCCTTAATATCTTGGAGTCACCTATAAATAAGGTTCCCCTTTACAGTGATAATATATGGCATGTATTTGTAAGGAACTGTCACGTAGAGTGCATGCAGCCATCTCAGAGAAAGGCATCTTGGGAAAAATGCACCCCAGCTTCATCCACAACTAGTCCCTCTTGCACATCTAGCACAGTGTGTACACCAGGGGTAATTTTTGCAGATTCTAAATTACTCCTGCACCCTAATAACTTGACATCTAGTTGAGGAGATGAGATACAAAGACAGTTAACTTATACAAGAATTAACTATGTGAAGACAAGAAAAGTTGTATAGGAATGTTGCAAAAAGATGACACTGTCCATAATTTATCACCATCATAGTGATGTCACTGTGAATTATAATGCCAGAGGAGAATGTCCTGAATGAAAGGAAGCTTCAAACAGGCTTCTAACATGAAAGCGGGGCATGGGCAACAAGTATAAGAGATATGGTGAGCCGGGCACCAGTGGCTCATGCCTGTAATCCTAACTACTCAGGAGGCTGAGCTGTGAGGATCACGGTTCAAAGCCAGCTCAGGCAGGAAAGTCCATGAGACTCTTATCTCCAATAAACCACTAGAAAACCAGAAGTGGCGCTGTGGCTCAAGTGGTAGAGCGCTTGCCTTAAGCTGAAGAGTGCAGGGACAGTGCCCAAGCCCCGAATTCAAGCCCCATGACTGACCAAAAGAAAAAAGAGAGATAGTGGAGAAACACTGGGCAAGACTCATGGGATGACTAAGGAGTACAAAGAGAAATCAGAGATAATTGTGAACAGTGGCCAGAATTATCTGTGTCATAAGACCATTTCACTGAATGTGTTTCCTCAGCTTTCAGAGGAAAGGCAGCAAGCTAAGAATGACAGGGTGAGCTACACCAGAAAAGGCCAAGAGAATCTCTTGGGAAAGTGCATGTGTTAGGTATTATTGTTTATATACATTGATGATTTCATACACCAATAGTCTTCTGTAAATCAATTCCTACCAAAACCACAAGCAACAGAATGAGCTAGACCAAAAAGGTCAAGGGAATCTCTTGGGAAACACTGCAAATGTCAGGTATTACGGTCCACGTAGTTGAATGCTTTCATGCACCAACTTGGCTTCTGCAAATTAATTCATACCAAACAACACATTTGTGCTCTATTCCAATTAGTCTTGTTACCAATGTCCCCTTGGAAACTATTGTTTTGATACTCTTTTGAATGCATGGGGAAATGTGAAGTGTCAGTTGTACCAGTGGTGTTTTGTTTTGACCTGTCTATGGATACAATGCATCTTGGTCCAAGTTGTTCCTTCCCTCCTTCTCTCTTCTCTCTTCTCCCTTTCCCACAACAGCCTCCTTACTTTTCCTTGTTCCATTTTCACATTTGTACATAGATTATGACAATCTAATGTTAGTTTCTTACTAACATGAAAAAAACAGAAAATAAGTCCTTTTGTGCAATTAAAAAAACATTTTCACAAATGGCATCATGTAAATACAAAGAATATTCTATTGTTACTGTATTTATATGATTTAGCTCCCACTAAAAGTGGTATCAACACCTTTTTAAAAATGAAATAAAAGCTGAGTGCTGGTAGCTCATGCCTGTAATCCTAGCTACTCAGGAGGCTGAGAGCTGAGGATCTCAATTCAAAGCCAGCCTGGACAAGAAAGTCTATGAGACTCTTATCTCTAGTTAGCCACCAGAAAACTAGAAGTGGCACTGTGGCTTGAAGTAGTAGAGCACTAGCCTTGATGTGAAGAGCTCAGGGACAGCTCCAAGGCCCAGAGTTCAAGCACCATGACCAAGGAAAAAAAAAGAGAAAGAGAAAATGGCAGCAACAACTTTCAAACCATGACTAACATTCATAAAACTAGAGATGATTCACTGGTTAATAAATGACAAATGTCAGAAAAAAGAATCAGACAAAATATAAATACTAGTTGTACCTGAGATAAAGAACCTAAGTCATATATTGAGCAATCAAAATTTCCAAACTCTTCACTATATTGGGTTGCCTTTAGTTGTGTGTGCATGCGTGCATTCGTGTGTGTGTGTGTGTGTGTGTGTGTGTGTGTTTGGGGGCTTAAATCCAGAGCATGTTTCAATCCTGTTCTAACACATTACTTTCTCTATCAAAAGACAGAGAAACCAGACACTGGTGGCTCACACCTATAATTTTAGCTACTCTGGAGGCTGAGATCTGAGGATCACTGTTCAAAGCCACCCAGGGCAGGAGTCGGTGAGACTTTTATTTTTTTTTTTACCAGTCCTGGGGCTTTAACTCAGCGCCTGAGCACTGTCCCTGAGCTTCTTTTGCTTAAGGCTAGCACTCTACCACTTGAGCCACAGCACCACTTTAGGCCTTTTCTGTTTATGTGGTACTGAGGAATCAAACCCAGGGCTTCATGCTTGCTAGGCAAGCACTCTACCATTAAGCCATATTCCCAGCCTGTCTGTGACACTCTAATCTCCAATAAACTACTCAGAAAAGGCTGGAAGTGGTGCTGTGGCTCAAGTGGTAGCGTGCTCACCTTGAGCAAAAAGCTCAGGGACAGAGCCCAGGCCTAGAGTTCCAAGTTCAAGTCTCAGGACCAGCAGAGAGAGGGAGGGGGAGAAAAGGATGGGGAGAGAGGGAGAGAGACAGAGAGAGAGAGAGGAGAGAGAGAGATCTTTGTTGATCTTGGCACCAGTGGTTCATGCCTGTAATCCTAGCTACTCAGGAGGCTGAGACCTAAGGATCACAGTTCAAATTCAGTCTGGGAAGGAAAGTCTGTGAGACTTTTATGCAAAATCCTATCATTACACAACAGGAAGAGCAACAGAAAGTCATAAAAAATCATATAGAAACAGGTAACAATCACTATGGAGTTTTAGTGCTGGAAAGAGAATCTCCAGGAGGAAAAATTCTACCTCCTAGCTGGTTTGATCATTGTTAAACTTTTCTCATTTCTCTTAGAATTGCCACCAGCTAGGTACATCAGACATAGCCCCAGAGTGTTTTCTTAGAGCTCTATGATTCTGGGCGACACTATTTGGCTGAGGTATTTAAAGGTTCCCACACTATGCCCTGTCCTCACACTTTCTCAATCCATTGTTGGCTGAATCTGTGCCCACAATCATATCCTAGAAAATCTAAGCCCACTTTACTCAAGGATACCCAAACAGGATCCCACCACTACTAGGATCATGGAACATTGGTACATGATGAGGATCTGACCAATTTTCACTAGGTAAAGTCTTGAGGTTACCATTATTTCTCTTTCCACTCCAACTCAGAAAGTCCTTTGAGATGGATGGGTACCTCTCAGCTCTCAGTTTCCCTCCCTGACAGATAACTGAAAAGCCAGGGTGTTCTCCTTGCTTAGCTTCCTCTTCCTGCTCTGATCATGGCACACCCCTAGGAAGTCAGCTACGCCTACCCTCTCACTCCCCTACCAGGATGTGGCATACTGAGGTGGGGTACCTTAAACTTCCCTATCCTAGGAGGCCAACAGCCCAGATTGACCTGCTCAGACCCCAGCCTCCCCTTCCCAGTCAAGCTATCAGCTGATCACACTGCTTTAGCTAATGTGTTTGCTTCAGGATCCTTTAGTTCTTTGATCAGTGGTTCATCCAGGCATGGTAGCATATTCCTGTAGTCCCAGCTGCTCACAAGGCTAAAGTGGGAGAATGGCCAGAAA